CACTGTAAATTGGAAATTTTGTAAGTTAAACATGCATTGACTACACCTAACCAACCAAACATTAGAGTTTAGCCTAGCCTATACTAAACATGCTCAGAACAGCCTGTAGTTGGGCAAAATCATCTTAAGCCTCTTTCATAACCAAATACTGAATATCACACGTAATTTATTGAATAGTGTACTGAAAATGAAAAATAGGCTGGTTGTATGGGCACAATGGTTATAAGTGTATTGGTCGTTTACCCTCATGATTGCATGGCTAACTGGGAACTGTGGCTTACTGTCGCTGATCGGCACATAGTGCATATTGCTATCCCAGGAAAAGATCAAAATCTAAAATGTGAAGAATGGTTTCTACGGGTGGAGTATCACTTTTGCACCACTGTAAAATTAAAAAATCGGAAGTCGAACCATTGTAAAGTAGGGACTGGCTACAGTTGAATAATGGTTTTTTAAAATCTGTTCTGCTAGTTTCTGCCTTTTGATTGCAGAATTTAATTCATTTACATTTAAAGCTGTTCCTGAATAAGCACTTCTGCCATTTTACTGTTTGTTTCCTATAAGTCATATCTCTCTTATTCTTCAGTGCCTCCATTACTGTCTTTTTTAAAAATTTAATTGATTGTTTTGTCTAGTGTGTTTTTTTGATTCTTTTCTCATTTCCCTTTCTCTCTCTCTCTCTATATATATATAGATGTATGTATATATGTATACATATATGTTCTCTCTCTCTCTCTCTCTCTATATATATATGTATGTGTATATATATACATATTTTTTTTCCCTGAGTAGTTGCTCTGAGGATTACAATTAACACCTTAAATTTATAACAATCTTGTTTGAATTAATACCAACTTCCATACTATGCAGAAACTCTGCTCCTGAAACAGCTCTGTCCCTTCCTCTTTGGTATTGTCATACCCTACAGCTTTATACATTGTATGCCCATTAATGTAGATTTATACTTATTTTACACGTTTGAGTTTTAAACCATATATAGAAAAAAAGGGAGTTGCGAGTCAAAAATATAATAATTTTAACTTTTACATGTACTTGTGTAGCTACCTTTAACAGAGTTCTTTTCTTTGTATAGCTTTGAGTTACTGTGTGGCATCCTTTTCTTTCAGCCTACTGAACTTTAGCATTTCTTGTAAGGAAGATCTAGTAGCAGCAAACTCCCTCAGTTTTTCTTTATCTGAGATTTCCTGGATGTAGAATTCTTGCTTGACAGTTTTTTCTTTCAGCTCTTTAAATGTGTCATTCCACTGTCTTTGACATGTATGGTTTCTGATTAGAAATCAGCTATTAATCGGGGCGCCTGGGTGGCTCAGTCTGTTAAGCGGCCGACTTCGGCTCAGGTCACGATCTCATAGTCCGTGAGTTCGAGCTCCGTGTCGGGCTCTGTGCTGACTGCTCAGAGCCTGGAGCCTGTTTCAGATTCTGTGTCTCCCTCTCTCTCTGACCCTCCCCCTTTCATGCTCTGTCTCTGTCTCAAAAATAAATAAACGTTAAAAAAAAAAAAATTTAGAAATCAGCTATTAATCTTATTGAGGAGCCCTGCTGTGATGAGTTGCTTCTCTTTTGCTGCTTTCAACTCTTTTTGTAATTGACTTTCAACACTTAGATTAAAATATGTCTGGATGTGGATTTCGAGTTTGTTGAGCTGCTTGGATGTTAGATTTATGTCTTTTATCAAATTTAAGAAATTTTTAACCATTTCTTCATATATTCTTTCTGCCCCACTCTCTCCTTTCCTTGTGGGACTCTCCTGTCTATATGATGGTACACTGGATGGTATCCCACAGATCTGTTAGACTCTGTTCATACTTCTTCATTTTTTTTCTTGCTGCTGTTCAACAAAGTAGATAATCTCAATTGACCTATCTTCAAGTTCATGGATTCTTTTTTCTGCCTGCTCAAATCTCTTGTACCCCTGCAGTGAATTTTTTGTTTCAGTTATTGTACTTTTCAGTTCCAGAATTTTTAGTTCTTTTCCATAATTTCTCTTTCTTTACTGATACTCTCTATTTGAGGAGACATTGTTCTTCTGTTCTCTCCCCCCACTTCCCACCCCCATGGTTTCCTTTAGCTATTTGAGCATATTTAAGACAGTAAAAAGTCTTTGTCTAGTAAATCCAGTGTCTGGGTGTTTCTCAACAATTTATATTTAATTTTTTTTTCTTATGAATGGGCCATATTCTTTTTTTGCATGTCTCATAAATTTTTGTTGAATACTGGACACTTTTGAATACCAGACAATTATTTCTTTTGTCTTTTTCTTGTGATCCTTGGCTTTTTATTCACATTTAAGAATGTGACACTGAAAAGCTACCTAGTTTGAGTATATACATTTATGATTTACAATCACCATTCATAGAGTGATTAGGTAGAGGTGTTTCAAGGAGAACCATCAATTGTCAACATTTACAATTTGGCTGCCAGTTTTCTAGTAGTGTTCTGAACACTGGAAAGGGAAGCTGGGATTTCTCATTGTTAACTATGCATACCTTCGTTTGATCCACTTGTTTCTTTGTATGTGTATTCTATGTTTTGTTTTTTAATTTTTTTTTAATGTTTATTTATCTTAGAGAGAAACAGAGCATGAGCAGGGGAAGGGCAGAAAGACACAGAATCTGAAGCAGGCTGCAGGCTCTGAGCTGTCAGCACAGAGCCCAATGCAGGGCTTGAACCCATGAACTGCAAGATCATGACCAGAGCTGAAGTCAGAGGCTTAACCAACTGAGCCACCCAGGAGCCCCTGTTTTAACTTTTTAAATTACATTTTTAGTTGAAGTATAGTTGACATTCAATATAATATATATTAGTTTCAGGTGTGTAACATAGTGATTCATTAGTACACATAGCGTACATAGTGTATGTACAGTGCTCAAAGTGTAGTTACCATCTGTCACCATACAAAGCTATTAAAATATTATTGACTACATTCCCTGTGCTCTACTTTATATCCGTGTGACTTATTTATTTTATAATTGGAGGATTGTACCTCTTAACCCCCTTGAACCCTTTGATCCCTTTGTTTTTAATGCACCATCTGTCTCAGATTCCAGAGCCACTTTGGCTCATTGTCTCCAGAAAGGTAAGGGACTTTTCACCACATATCCTGTTTTCAACTACTGTAGTTAGTACCTCTGACTTTCAGAGTCTTATGTTTTACTAACTGAGCTAGCAGGGCTACTTGACTTTAAAGGTATTTTTGCTACTTCCATTCCCTGAGTCTGAAGCACAAATTAGCTTGTTTTTCATTGGCTTTTCTCTTAAGCTCCTGTTTCAGTTTAAGCTTCCTGAATCAGTTAACCACCCTACTACTAACCAGCCTACAGTTAACCATCTACTTTTCATATTTTGAAATATTATCATCTCTTTAGTGATATTAAAACCCTCCCCTATTTTTTCTATTCTCTTTTATCTTGTGGGTTTATGCCCATTTTAATCCTTTATTCACGTTTAGAGGGATTTTAGGAGGAAGAGATATTAACATGTTATTCGGTCTGTCCTGTTCTAAAAGGACTGTCTGAACTTCAACACGGAATAGGACATCACAAAGGAAAAAGGCTAATTTGAGCACTGGAAAAAACTGTGACATTTATGTATAACAAAAACAAGATTATTAAGAAGTATATAGCAGACTGGGATATATATATATATATATATATATATATAACCGATATGACATAGGATAATACTCATAGTATATGAAGAATTCAAATACAAATATATAAGAAAACACTAGCTCCAAAAGGTAAATGGGCCAAGTATACAAAGAGGCATTTCACAAACACACACAAATCCCTAATTTTCAGTATCACTAGCAGACAAAAATACATACTAAACAAGTTTGCATTTTTTAACTCCTATAGAAATATGTGTCTGTGTGTGTGTACAGATGAAAATGGGGAAAGATAGCCATTTTCTTGGACTACACATGTCAGTGTAAATTGGAATAGGTATGGAGGAAAACAGTTTGGGGTTATGCTTAACTATCATTTGAGTTTGAAATTCTTCTTACAAATTAGAATTTCTCCTAAACAAACATTCCAAACTGTGCAGAAATGATACACATCATATTTGGAATATCACTAACTAGTTGGAATAACTAACACTGATAGTGCCTTTACTGTGTGCTACAGGAACCGGGCTACAAGTATTTTACATACATTAATCTCATCCTCACAACAACCTTATGAGATAAATACTGTTTTTGTCTTTGAAAACATTGAGGCCAGATAGTGAATGAACAGGTGTGGAGCCCCAAATCTGATAAAAAATGTTTTTCTCTTTAACTGTCATGCTCACAGAATTTTCTGCTACTATATGTTGCTTCTCTAAAGATGAGGGGAAATAAGCATTGTTTTTGATGTTTTAATAATATAAAATCCAATTGTAGTAAAATAGCTAACTTTGCAGACGGTGGTACTTTTATGAGAGTGATATGCAGCCATTAAAAATCATGTTTTAGAAGAATATTTAATGATAAAATACTTGTGATTAGAAGAATGAGAAGACCTTAAGTATAATGTTTTTAAATTATTTTTTTGAATTTACAGTTGATGAAAATATGTAAAAAAAATTTTTTTAATCATTGTGAATGGATTACATGCATTTATTAATTTTCTTTTTATACCTTTTAAATCTTTGAAATTTTGAATATGTATAATTATTTAAGTCAGATTAAGTGTTCTAGTAATCATTTCATTTATTAATTTAATGATATAAAAATGCTCATATTTCTGGGAGAAAAAGCCACTTCTGATTTTAGCAAGGTCTTAATTTTGTCTTAGAAAATATATTGATGGAAATAATGTAGAAATACTAACACTGATATTATCCTAGGGAGATATGCTTGAGAATAAGCTTTTTCTTGTTATTCATTACTCTGTCTTCAAAATTTTCTACTACAAGTGTATGTTTTTGTCATCAGAAATAATGTAATATTTTAACTTGGAAAATAGCCTTTACTTTTTTTTTTCTTTTATTTTTAGACATTTGAAGATAGTGATTTGTTCCATTTGATTGGTGTTATCTGTGGATTAGCAATTTATAATTTTACTATTGTGGACCTCCATTTTCCTTTGGCTTTGTATAAGAAACTGCTGAAAAAGAAGCCATCCTTGGATGATTTGAAGGAACTAGTGCCTGATGTTGGGAGGTTAGTTGTAAAAAGTGACAAGGATGGAGTGTAGGTAATAGAGAATGAGAAATGTACAGAAAGCTTTCCTTTTAGGAATAATTGTATTTTGTGCTTGTTGAATTTCCAAAATAAACAAAAACCCTTCTCATATTGGAGAACTCATGGTGTTACCCAGATCAAAATTTTCTACTGAAAGACTTCTGTGTATAAAACCATTCCCTAAATTTTTAGTAATTTAACAATATTTTACAAATATCAGATAATAAACTTAGGAGGGCAGTGTTTCCTGAGAATAGTTAAATGATTTACTTGGACTTCGGATTACTAGCTGGAATACGTAAAGTTTCTTACTTATTACATAAAATGGAATAAAAATTGTATATGAATAAGAACAAATGTTAAAAATGGCTGGACACATGGCCTTTGTATTTAGAAGAGATAAAAACCTTAGAGTGATTTATTTGTTCCTTCAAAATTGTTCATTAGCTTGCCATTACACATTTACCATTCTGAAACAAATACAAGAGTACAGATTCATAAAAGGATTTTATCAAGAATGAATGAGAAATATATATTTATCCATAAGCAAAACAGTCAAAATACCCAGTAATGTTTTACCTCAAAGAAAAATGTATGTTGTTTTGCAGAAGCATGCAACAATTACTGGATTATCCAGAAGATGATGTCGAGGAAACATTTTGTCTTAATTTTACGGTAAGATGGAAAGACCTAGAATAACCTGATTATTCTTCATCCCTGCCTTATGGTTTTTGTTTCTTTTATGTTGACGAGTGGAATTCTTAACCCTTTAGCTAACATTTATTGAGCATTAACTGTTTGCTAGTCATAGTACGTACATTATTTCATTTAATCCTCATAACAGTCCTATGAGATTGGTATTATCCTTATTTTACAGATGAAGAAAACTGAAAACAGTCATTACATGTCAGAAATAATATTTATACCCAGGTCTGTGACTTCAGAGCCTAGTGTTTTATCATTATGTTAAAGATCTTTACAAATACAAGAAGACCTCTTTATTCAAGTATTCATTTTTGAGTCTGCAGTTAATTACAAGAATCTTTAGAGAAGCAAAAGTTACTGTACATTAGAAAATTCAGTAATGAACTTACCACTTAAAAGATTAATTCCTACTCAGACATCCCTTTTTGCTTACATTAATATTTGTCCTTGCCTATTTACCTTACTGTTGAATGACATACCACAGTGCAAATGCAAATACGTTGGAATGATTTTTAGAAAAAGAAATTGCAAATCTTACCAAAGATACAGAATTTTGTTAATTTAGTGAAAGGGATGTTGAATAACTTATCCATCCACATGCAAAGCCCTTGACAAACAAGGATCTGGCAAAAGTAGACCAGTTGACAATTAAAGATGAGAAAATCAGCAAGGATTGTGAGAAAGCACTCCAGAATGGAATGGTTTAAATGTTGTTAATTAGACTCTTGTGAAAATGGTAAAGCCTTTGGTCTTCTTTCTTTTTGTTTTTAAAAACTTTGTGTATTTGTTTTTCCCCCAAATAGTCCCCTTTATGATCTTGTGGTCAAATCTGACAGATACTATATTCTCCTATCCCACAATTTTCCAAAAAAATGATGTGCCCCCGTCAAAGAAGTTTACCCATTTCTTGATCATTTTAAGAATTGGCACATAGTACAATTTTAAGAAAATTTGGCTAAAATGAAATAAGTGAATTTATTTTAATAAATACTGGTTGAATGGTTGGTTTCCCAGTGGTTTGATTCTTTAATTCAATTTCATTTATAAGAGAATCAATTATCTTTGAATTTTTATTGATTATCTCAGTGGACTGAAACTTCGGGTTCCAAGCAATATAATTTCTAATTTGTCAATGCCAAGTTTGTGAATGCTTTAGTATATTCAAGAACTGTGGTAATTTAAACATTCCTTCCCACTGCCATTTCTTTTCCAGAAATTTTCAGTGAGTCTTTATTGCTTGCATAATAATAGCTTTAGATGGGCTTCAGAGTCTTATTTGTAATCTGGCTTTCTTTGCAACTTACACTATATTCCTCCATTAATAGCAAGTTTTATCATGTCACACAGTATTCTCTCATGTACCTTATCTTCCTGTTTTTTAGGGCCGTACGTTTTCAGAATTTGATATTTACTGTCATATGTATCCTGTCCAGTCTCTATGCTCAATCAGAAATTCCATCCCCTCTCAATCTTTGAGGGCCCTACTCATTCTTCTAGGTGCTTTTCAAGGATATTTCTTCCTCAAGGTCTTTCATACTTCCTCCAGTTAGAGAGTGTTCTTTCCTCTGTGGTTTGATAGCATTTTGTTCATGTCTCTATTACAGCATTTATTTTAAGAAGTTGCTTATATAACACATTTCTCCTCCTTAACTAGATAGTAAATTCCACAGCAGGGCTTTATTCATCTCTTATCTCAACCCCACCGTAATGTTTTATAGATAGCAGGTACTAAAAAAAAAATGTTTTCATAGAAGAGGATAATATTCCAAAAAGAGGGAATAGAAGGAGAAAAGATACAAAGCTGGGAATGGTAATACTTATAGGAAAATTAGCAGACTAGTAGAGCAAATAAAAAGTTTCAAAATAACCAGCTATCTTTATAAACCAAATCGTGCATACTGGAAAAACCATGTATGATCAAGAATGCAAACAAGACAGGAATATAAGAGTAGGAGCTGTCCAGTGAGAAGAATGCATGGCAGGTCTAGGCTGCATACATTTTGACCACCTGTATTCTGTTATATGTGCAAGGAAAACATCCTTTCTGATATTTTACTTCTGTAGTGATTGTTCTAAAGTCTTACACATAATAAATACTCCATTTCCTGTTCTAAACTAACCAAACATTTGGTAATTTGTAGTTAGTCACAGTAGGATCACACTACTACGGAGGATGAAAACTTCTAGTGTGGCTTTATTTAGAATTCACAAATAAGCTTATGGTAGTCACAGAATTTTACCTCAGCTTTATTCTTATATTTAATGAGAGAAAGGTAGACTATAATAATAGGTTATTAAAATCTAATAAGTTTTGAGTCTGACATTGACTTTTTTTAAAAATTTAAATTAATAGATCACAGTTGAAAACTTTGGTGCAACAGAAGTGAAAGAGCTGGTTCTAAATGGTGCAGACACAGCTGTTAACAAACAAAATCGGTAAGTGAATTATAGCAGCATCAGTGGTAGTAATAACTTTCCGTAGGCATTTTCTTCTGTATATAGAAACCTGTCACAGTCTTAAGTTTTTACTCAGGTAAAACTTACTTTTTGAATGGTTAGTAAGGAAGTAACTGCCTTTTGTTCCTGAAATCTCTTTAAGACATTAATAAAGAAATAAAAGATCATAACCAAAACAAAGAGAAGGGAGAGGAGACAACAGAAACCCATTTTTGGAAGCTAGAGAACAGGAGTAACTAACTAACTGGTCAACCAGAGACAGTTGCAACATAGGAAGGAGTCAAGAAGGCAGCCAGTTTTTATATTGCCTAACTGCGGCTCAGGCATTGAGAATAAAAATGTTAGAAAGTATATTGGGCTTAGGGGAATGCTGGAAATAGAAAGATTGCTGTTATGAAAAGCAGTTAAAAACCCATTTACCCATTTTCATTAGCACTAGAATAGCCTGGCAACTTCCCTTCTGGAAGTCCCCCCAATTTACCTTCTGGAGAGATTGAACTAAAGGGACTTTGGATATTTTGAAGGGCGGGGGAGGCGCTGGGGGAAAGGGATACTTTAGATTTGAGTACAGTTAGGCCCAACCAAGGGTAAGAGGCATACTGAAAACAAGTAGATTGAGTCTACACTTCCCTCTCTTTGGCACTGTGTGCTGGAGGATTCTTTGGGTAAACTGCCTCACTCTTAAGTATGAGTAGATAGCCAAAGATCGATGGACGTTTAAGGAAAAACCAAAACCATCGAATGCCAAGGAAACAGAAACAATGCAGGATGAAGAAGAAAACTTCAAAAGAAAATGAAATAAGTATTCTTAAAATGATATAGATTAAAAATTACTTAAAATTCAAAAAAGTTGAATTAAAAATTGAAAAAAACATCACTGAAAGACATTTGTCAAATAAATGGTACCAAAAAACTTGCCAGAACAGAATGACATGCTTTCTTAAAAGACGTGCCTTTAAAATTGAAAGCATGGAAAGTTAAAAAAAAAAAAAAAAAAGACATACTAAGGCAAAAGAGAACTTTCAAAATCCTAGGAGAATAAAGATTCCTAAAACCTTCCAGGAAAAAAAAATACACTGACCATATACAAAAAAGAACCAGAATAACCTCAAACTTTTCTAAAGAATGACACTGAAGCTGGGAGATCAAAATTCTGGGGAAAGATGATTTTTTAACTTAGAATTTTGTATCAGAACTGTCAAGTATGTGCATGTATATAAAAACATCTCCAGGCATCCAGAGTCTCAGAGAATCTACTTCCAGTGCATTTTTCTCAGGAAGTTACAGGAGGATGTGTTCTACCAAAACAAGGAATTAAACCAAGAAAGAGAAAGACACGGGATCAAAAAAAAAAAATACAATCCAATCTAGAAGAGAGGCAGAGGATTTCTTCTGCAGGAACAGCAGTGTGTAGAAGGTTTAGGAAAAAGCAGCCGATGTGGGTTAGATCAAGAGGATGGAGGCTCCAGGAGGGCTGTCTCCAGGAGAAAAATGCAGCTTTTGCTCCCTTACGTAGTTGAATGAATCTAAAGAGATTGACATTTCTGTTAAAGTGAGGGATGAAGTAGCAAATTAAGGGAAGCAAAAGTTGTGGTTTTTTTTAAAATTTTTTAATGTTTGTTTATATTTGAGAGAGAGAAATAGAGGCAAGAGGGAGGGAGCAGAGAGAGAGAGGGAGACACAGAAGCAAAAACAGGCTCCAGGTTCTAAGCTGTCAGCAGAGTCTGATGCGGGGCTTGAACCCACGGACCCATGAGATCATGACCTGAGCCGAAGTCGGACGCTTAACCGACTGAGCCACCCAGGTGCCCCAAACAAAAGTTCTTTTTAAGGAAAGGCAGGTAATAAATATTCCAACTTAATTGTGAGCGATATTTATGATCATAAAAATGTCAACAGTGAACAGTGAGCCAAAAATTGTTATAATGGGAGCTTTAGGGGAAACAAAGTGAGAGAGGGATAATTAAAAATAAGGTAAATCCTCACCTTCCACAATAGGTATTCAGTTCATTAGATTATATTTAAAATTGAAAATTAAGGAATAACATAACTATGTTGTTGAAATTTGAAGGTAAATATCAGAAGTAATAGCGATAAGTTAAGTTTATTTGCCTTCAGATATCAGGAATTTCTAATGGAAAGGAACAAGATTGAGAACTGCTTTGTTCTCTTCTATGGTGTTACAATTCTTTAGACAAAGCTAGTTTATTGGCTGTTGCCAGGAGCTTTATTCAAATGGCTCTAATTCTGGTTCTGCTACTTAGTAACTGTGTAACTGTAGGTAAATTAGTCAATGTCTCCATGCCTCAGTCCTTTTCTGTAAAATGGGATGATAGATTGTACCTATTTCTTGGAGTTATTTTGAGGATTAAATGAGGCAATAATTTTAAGATGCTTAAAATAGTGCTTAGCACATGTACGTGCTCAGTAAATGTTGGCTGTTAGGATTATTACTATTTGACATTTAAAACTGTGTGTATGTCTTACTTTGATAAAAAATAAACTGTTTTTAAAATAATGTGAAAATATTTTGGTCTTTCTAATTATCCTTTCTTTAAAAAAATCTTGGTTTTGAAAACTGATTTAGAAAGGTTTTTAGCCTACTATTAAAGTATTATGTTAAGGTTTTTAATTTAGTTAATAATTTAAAGAATTTTTATCTTTGTACTACCAATGCTAGATAAAGTGTTGAAGATAAAAATATTAGCACATAAAGCAATTTAGCCTTTTGTGCTTAAAGCAGATAAATTTCTAATACAGATAAATTTCACTTTCTAATTAGATGAATTATAAAATTATGCATTACAAAATTATCTGCCTCTTTTCATCAGAACCTAATAGCATATGTTATTGATTTTTCCTTAGGCCCACCCAATTTTATATTGACCCCCTTTAACCTTCTTTTTTCTGTTTATAAATTCACTTTGAAATTATTTTATAATTGCTAAGAAGATAATTTATCTATAGATAACTAAATTTGCCAGTATTCCCAGAATTATCCTTTTGAATTTGGAGGACTGGAATATAAAATATTGAAATACCCCTGGTACCCATTCTCATAATTTGTTTGACCAGATAGATAGCTGCATAAAATAATTGTGGCTAACAGAACAAATTGAATAAAACTATAGTGCTAATTCCTGGGTAAAGGGACTTTTGTTTGTTTGTTTATAGTTTACTTTTGTATCATAACAGGCAGGAAAAGACATCAGAAGTGTTTGTTATATATATGTGTGTGTACTTATATGTATATGCACATACTTCTGAAAAGAAATGGCACTTGTAATCTTTTAATGAAGTGCTTAATAACCCTTTGAGGTATTTATTCATTCGTTTATTTCTAAGAGAGAGCATGCAGTGAGCAGGGGGAGAGGCAGAGGGAGAGAGGATCTTAACCAAGCTCCATGCCCAGTGCAGAGCCGATCTCATGACCCGAGCCAAAATCAAGAGTCACTCATTTAACTGACTGAGCCACCAGGAGCCCCTGAGATACTTAGTTTTTAAAATAAATTTTGTTGGGGTGCCTGGCTGGCTTCATCAGTAGACCATGTGACTCTTAATCTTAAAGTCGTGAGTTCAAGCCCCACATTGGGTATAGAGCCTACTTAAAAAAAAAATAAAATTGTGTTTTCAGATTCCTTGAAACCCAACGAAAAACAGGTAGACTGTTGTCTGTCAAATAGTCTGTATCCCAAAGCTCTCATTTTTTCCATCACCTGGTATTTTTAACAGTGGTGCATATAAATCTCAATAATCTGTGAATATTTAAAAATTATTTTGATAGACATTTGTGTCCCTTTAGGAAATGACATTTCACCTTGGAATAGCCTTCCTAATTAGGCTATGAATGATAGATGAAGTCTGCATGCCTCCTAGATAATACTGGATTTTTATACAGAAAGAATAATAAACTTCTCTATAAAGACTTTGTCCACTTAGGGGTGCCTGGGTGGCTCAGTCGGTTAAATGTCCAACTTCGGCTCAGGTCATGATCTTGTAGTTCGTGGGTTTGAGCCCCGTGTCAGGCCCTATGATGACAGCTCTGAGCCTGGAATCTGTTTCAGATTTCAGATTCTGTGTCTCCCTCCTGCTTTCTGCCCCTCCCCCGCTCATGCTCTCGCTCGCTCTCTCTCTCTCTTGCTCTCTCTCTCTCTCTCTTGCTCTCTCTCAAAAATAAACATTAAAAAAAAAAAAAGGCTTTGTCCACTTAGAATCCTGCTTATACTTTCTCAGTTTTATAGCTAAGTAGCAAAAAGTACACGAGATCAAACTTTTAATAAGACTGCATATGTGTTCTCCATAAAAAATCATTTTTATATTCTGTGCCATGTGTGCCTTTTCATTTCTAGGCAAGAGTTTGTTGATGCTTATGTGGATTACATATTCAATAAATCAGTGGCTTCCTTGTTTGATGCTTTTCACGCGGGCTTTCACAAGGTCTGTGGAGGAAAGGTCCTTCAGCTCTTCCAACCAAATGAACTACAAGCAATGGTTATTGGAAATACAAATTATGATTGGAAGGAACTGGAAAAGGTAAGGGAAAACAAATCTATGAAATTGTCTCAATGGAAAGGCAAAAGGAAAATGTGGTTTATTGATAGAAAAATTGCCCTCTTGTTTATTGTTTTCCATTTTACACTATTTATTAGTCATATTTATAGGAAAGTACTATATACTTCCTACTCCACAGTGAATGAATTTAGTTGTATATGAATTAGATACCATTTTTGTATTTGTGGTATTGGTAGTTTTCTTATGGAAAAATGTCATTTATGACAGAGGTCAGATAGAAGTCCCAGCTAAAACTGAGTTTTCATTCTGCCCAATCATAAAACCATTATGAAAAACATTCACATTACTTAACACCTTTGTTTATTTTTTTTTTTCTGCTTACTCTCAATGCTAAATTTTTTTAGCAGAGAATAAATAATATTTATGATCTCCATTATTAGTGTTAGCCAATAAAGGGATCTTTGGGGAGAAGATTGGGAATTTTTAAACAACTTTTTTCTTTTCTTTCTCTTTACCAATCATTCTCAGATACTTCTTCAGATAAACATTGAATAAAAAGTGCTAGGTTAGATCAGCTTTGAGAAAGATATATGCAAGTTTGACCTATAAAATTTTCTGTCTTTGTAATCCAACTCTGATACAGTTTTTTTGCATTAATAGTTTAATCCTATGTACCCATTAAGTTAGCTAACAAGTCTAACAAGGATACAAAGCATTGGTAACTTTCATGCATTGCTGGTGGGAATACAGATGGTATAGCTACTTTGGAAAGAGTTTGGCATTTTCTTGCAGGGTTAAATATGCACTTACTACATGACCTAGCAGTTCTACCCTAAGGTATTAAGTTACATTCACACAAAATCTGTAAATAGGAGGGTATGGGATGTAATTGTTTAATGAGTACAGAGTTTCAGCTTAGCAGAATGAACAGTTCTGGAGATGCATGGTGGTGATGGTTGTGTAGCCATATGAATGAACTTAGTACACTTAAAATGGGTTAAGATGGTAAACTTTCTTACAGGTATTTGACCACAACTTTTTTTAATTATGTTTTTAAAACTCTGCAAACATGTCAAAAACTAGAAACAGCCCAGATGTCCTTCAGTGAGTGAATGGATAAAGCAACCTGGAGTACATCCATACAGTAGGGTACTACTGAACAATAAAAAGGGATGCACTACTGATACGTGCAACAACTGGGATGACTCTTAGATCCTTATGCAGAGTGAAGAAGCCAGTCTCAAGGATTACATACCATATGATTCCATGCATGTGACATTTTTGAAAAGGCAAAACTATGGTGAACTGGATATATGACTGTAGAGAGTAGCGCAGGAGAGTTCTTGGGGTGACGGAAGTGTTCAGTATCCTGATTGTGGCGGTAGGTACACAAGTCTATCCATAGAACTATACCCACACTGGAAAAAAGTCAATTTTACTGTGTATTAATTTAAGGAATAAATTTTTTAATTTAAAGAATAATTAGGACTTCTGGTTGAACATACTACAGTAAACACGTTTGCTCCTTTCCAAAATCTCACTAGAATAATAATAAAGGAATAAAAATAGGAATACACAGACAGAAAAAAATATAAAAGTACCATGAACAAGAGAAAATAATTTTGGAAGATGGGAAATATGTGGATGAGTTGTTGAGTGACCAGAGCAAAGAAATTTGAATTCTAAGCCTCCTGAGGGACAGAGGTTTTAAGAGACAACTCATTTCACAGCATAGAAATTTTAAAAGGCTCAGGAATTGGTACATGGTCTTGCTGTAGTAGCAGATTGTGTGGTTAGGCTAAAAGCAATAGAGTTACTTCAAAGCTAATTTAAAGAATTGTAGACCCCTCAGCTTCTCTATCCTACCCAGGAGACAAGTCTAGAGAAGACCACAGAATCTGGGAAACCAGGTGGAACTGAGGAAAGTTGGTAGGCAAGTTTATATCCTCCAGGAAAGAGATTAAAAATTTATTTTTTGGGGTAAATTGATCTGCTAAAGAGAAGAAAGCTGTACTGATTTTAAGGAGACCCCAGTAGAAATGGACTCCACCTCCAGTCATCCTAAAATAAAAATGATGTAATGGCCTCCAGTCACACTTAGCATCCCACACAGTTTGTCCTTTTTGCCCCATCTCCTATGGTTCTTCCTCTCACTCACATTGCTTCAGTCTTTATGGCCTCTTTGCTGAACCAGTCTTGAGGGCTTTCTATTTAGCTATTCCCTGTGCCTGGAACTCTTTTTCACCTTGATCATTCCAAATGCTTCTTGCTCTTACTTCCTTTATGTCTTTATACTTTCTCAGAGACTTTTACTGGCTAACTTACCTAAAATTGGATATGTGCACACACACCCCCACTCCCACACCCTGTCACCCTTCCCTGCTTTATTTTCTCTTTGAACTTGACAATTTTACTTAATGGTCTTTACTGTCTGTTGCTGTTTTCCCCCACAACAATGTAAGCACCATGAAGGCAGGGTTTTTGTTTCTCTCGTCACTGCTATATTCCCAGAGCCTAGAAGAGCACTAAGTACTTAAAACCATGTCTGAAGATATAATTGATAGAAATAATCATTTCGTAAGATGGCTTTTTTTTTTTTTTTAGTATATTTTAGTGTACTTAATATGCTTGGTTTCTTCCATTGTATACCTGATTCATTATAATTTCAGTGACTAGGATTTGTGGCTTTAAATGTTCTTTCTTCATCAGGACTGTGTACACACTCCCCAGAACCATTTAGAGGTTTTTTAATTAAAAAGAAAGATAAAAAACTTTAACCATGTTCCTTTCATTCCCCACTAATATGCTCATAGTCTATAATTCATAGTCATTAATCCATTAATTGATTGCTAGAATTTCAGCCATTTTTTTCCAGACCTGTTTATAAGTAAATAGAAAGTATCGAGTAGATTTCAAGAGTTCAGTCATTGAGATAACCATGGCTACAAATAGAGCCCAAAATTTAAGAAGACCATTAGTAAATACTTGTTGAGCCCCTATGGATACCTAATACTATGCAAGAGATTAGGGAGATATCAGTAAATAAGGTTGAGACATGGTCTTTGCCCTATAATAAGGAAAGTGGAACTTAATTTTGGTGAATACTAAGGAAGAGAGTTCAGTGAATGGTATATAAAAGGGAACTTAACCTAGGCTGTACAAATCTGGGAAAGCATCTCAGTAGATGGTAGTAAGGTACTCTACAAGGTAAGTAAGGACTTGGTTCACTGCAGTTTCCCCAAGACTCCAAATTTTGACTGAAACTCTCTCTATAAATATGTTGAATGAATCACTGAGTGAATTTGGTGACATTTAATCTGAGTCCTAAAGGATAAATAGAAATTAGCCTGATGAACAAATAAAAAAAGGAGGATGTGTCTAAGTGGTCTAGGCTGAGGGAACAGTGTCCAAAGGCCCTGATACTGGAAGATTCTTGTTAAGAACTAAAAGTTAAGGCCAATCGTGGCTGGATTTTAAAGAACACTTTACAGTGTAATATTCCCTCTCCCCTCCCTACCCCCTTTTCTGTTAGTGCTAATATTTTTTTTTTTTTTTTTTTTTTTTTTTTGAGAGAGAGAGTGAAAGAGAGATAGAAAACACTAGCAGGGGAAGGGCAGAGGGAGAGGGAAAAAGAGAGTCCCATGCAGGCTCTGCTTTGTCAGAGGGCTTGATCCCATGAACTGTGAGATAATGACCTGAGTCTAAATCAAGAGTCAGACACTCAGTCCTTTAAGCCACCCAGAGTTTCCAGTGCTAGTATTTTTTTTTTTTTTAAGGAGAAGTGTATTAGCTCTGTTGGTACAGATGACCCCAAAATTCAGTGGCTTAAAAGTAACAGTGAACATTTATTTTCTCACATATTTTCAGTGGGTCAGGAATTCAGAATGGCTTTAACTGGATAGTTTTAGCTTAGGCATCTCTCATGAGGTTTTCATGCAGTTAAGATACTGATTGGTGCTTTAGTCATCTGAAGGCTTGATTAAGGATAGATTCCCTTCCAAGATGGCGCACTCATAAGACCATTGGCTAAAAGCCTCGTGTCTCACCATGAAGACCATTCCATGGTGCTCTTTTAGTATCCTCATGACACCTGGCTCTCCCCACAGTGAATGATCAAAAAGAGATTGCAGCCATAGAGTTTTTTATGATCCAGCCTCAGAAGGCATGTATTTCTCATACCTGCAGTATCCTAATGATTATATAGTCAGGCCCATACACTGTGAGAGGGGACTGCACAAGCGCATGAGGAACAGGAGGCACAGAGATCATTGGGAGCCATCGTGGAAACTGACTACCACAGAAAATTATTATCCTTAGTACTTTTTTTTTTTTAAGTAAAGATAGAATGTAAAGTAAGTGATTTCTGTTCATGAATATAGGAAGAGAATTTTATAATTATCACAGATAACTAATTCTTTGTTGAACTTTAATGCATTTACATTTTAGTAATTCTAGTTTACCCTTTAGATATTTACTTTTGAATTTTTTTTTTCAACGTTTATTTATTTTTGGGACAGAGAGAGACAGAGCATGAACGGGGGAGGGGCAGAGAGAGAGGAAGACACAGAATCGGAAACAGGCTCCAGGCTCTGAGCCATCAGCCCAGAGCCCGACACGGGGCTCGAACTCACGGACCGCAAGATCGTGACCTGGCTGAAGTCGGACGCTTAACCGACTGCGCCACCCAGGCGCCCCTTACTTTTGAAGATAATTCAACCCTGTTGTATTCTTTGAAGTGGTGGGGAGACATTTCTGCTGATTGGAACATTTTCTTGCCTTTCCCTAGAACTAACAGTTCCAAATTGCAAAATGCCCAGGAAATAGTAGGTAATCAGCTGAATTGCATGAGTTTCAAAATCCTGGACAGTGTTAGCTTTTGTGCTAATAAGAAGGCCAGTCTGTTAGATTCAAGACAAAACTAACATCCTTTAATATTAATGATTATGTTGTTTTTAGAATACAGAATACAAAGGGGAGTATTGGGCAGAACATCCAACGATAAAAATATTTTGGGAAGTATTTCATGAATTGCCGTTGGAAAAGAAAAAACAATTTCTGTGTAAGTATTTCTAACTAGTCCTATGTTTTATAGGAAATAGAATTCACAAACATTTTCATAGATTAACTGATTGACTTTGTTGGATAAAGTTTTTCCTTTTAGTATATTGCAGGGTACTGCTTTTAACTTTCAATTTTAACTGCTTTTAACTTTCAAAGCTTTTAATTTTCAATTAGAGTAAATTTTTGACCTGCATTCTTCATTACATATCTTTTCTTATTTTGAAAGCTACATTCAGTTTGCCTCCAAAATAGAATTGGTTCTTTCAAATGAAAAAACTATAAATGATTACAGTAAACTGGGGCTGAAATTCCTTTTAGAATTTCTAAAAGGTTTCTGGAGGATAGCTTTTTTTTCATTCAGTCTTTTTTGCTTACGTGTCAAAACTTTGGGAATTCTGTAGAAAATAGAACTTTGCCAGGATGTAGTACTTTTTAATACCTAAGCTCTGTTTGTCTTACATGTGTTAAATTTCTATTCTAATTGAAATTTGTATTCCCTTTGATACTCCTGCTATTGCCAGGAATATTTTGTCAATCTCTTTTTTGGTAGTTGTAATGAGAATCTTGGTAAAATTATTTTGTATATTTTAAGGATGACAGGCTGTTCTCAAGTGATTTGAGTTTCAAGTTTATTTATTTAGAGAGAACACAAGTTGGGGAGGAACAAAGAGGGAGGGAGAGAGAGAGAGAGAGAGAGAGAATCCCAAGCAGGCTCCTCTCTGAGCGTGATGCAGGGCTTGAACTCACAAACCATGAGATCCTGACCTGAGCCAAAACCGAGAGTAGGACGCTTAACCAACTGAGCCACCCAGGGTGACCCAAGATTACACACTTTCTTAAAATATTTATTTTTGAGCGCATGCACAAGCGGGGATGGGGCGGGGGGGGGGGGGATAGAGGATCCAAAGCAGGCTCTGCACTGACAGCGGAGAACCTGACGTGGGGCTCAAAGTGATGAACCATGAGATCATGATCTGAGCCAAAGTCAGATGCTTAACTGCACCACCCAGGTGCCCCAAGATTACATTTTTAAAGAAAAAATATTGTATGGATATGTAATATGTAGGTCTCAAAAATCATGCTATCATAAATTCTGGAGATAGGCTTCTACGTTAGAGCAAATGTTAATTAATGTAAAGGTTTGCCATGGTGACTGTACCAAATAACTTAGTACTCTATATTATAGTTTTGATAAAAGTGGTTGGCTGAATGATTTTTTTCTTGGTAGTATTTTTGACAGGTAGTGATCGCATTCCTATTCTTGGTATGAAGAGTCTAAAACTAGTCATCCAGTCAACCGGAGGTGGTGAGGAATATCTCCCAGTTTCCCATACCTGTTTTAATCTTCTGGATCTTCCAAAATATACAGAAAAGGAAACTCTACGCTCTAAACTGATTCAAGCAATTGATCATAATGAAGGCTTCAGTTTAATATAACTTTGGAAATAGAACTGATCAGTTTATTGCAAAAGCATTAAACTATTTGTGTTTTTCTTGTGGTGATGAGTTCAACAAGGTGACAAGAGGTACTATTATAATTCTTACTTGCAAAATGTTCAGTGCTATGAGTATTCATGAAAGCCAAAAAAATATTAAAAGGAATATGAACAAACTGTTAATATTAAGCTTATTGTACAGAACCATGGATTTTTTTTGCCATCTTCCAATAAACATACAAGTATTGTGAATACATCAAAGTTTTACTAACATGAATTTTAAGGGTTTGCATATTTCACAAATGATCTGGTGTGTGAGTGCATGGGTATGTTGCTTAATTTTTCTTCAATCACTGAGTGAAAAACCTTTACCTTTGGCCTGCAATAGTCATTCAATTATTTTTTCATTTTGTAAATAATGTTAAGTTTTGTAATAAAATAGTTATGTTCTGATACCAGTACAGTTTCTATGGTTGTAATTGAACTGAGCTGACTTTTAAAAGGATTAACAATTATGATTAAATCTTATTCTGATGATCTATAAAAGCAAAAAACTAGCATGATGAAACACAATCTTTGCTTTTTAACTAGAATAAATGTCCTTGTACAAAACTAAATTACAGATAGGAGTTATCTAACTTGTAGTTCTTTCCTTTTGTGAATCTGGAGATGCTACTGATAAAGGGCAGCTTAATCAGGAAGTTTAATAAGTATTTAGTATTGGAGGAACTTTGTCCTGCAGTTGCCAGGAATAGAACCTGGCTACTTTGAGAACCAACCACCGGCTTATAGCTTGCAGAACTTTTGATGCTACAGGTTGGTATTTAGACAGAATTTTCAGTGCTTTAGAACTCTCCTTGAATTTTTAGAAGCAGATCTTAACACAGTTTTATGGTGCTGATGCTTAGTTATCTCCTGTGATTAACTGTAACAGTGAGTTGATGCAACAACACATGTGACTTTCTGCTCTAATGCAAATATTTATTTTTTAAATTTATTTTAAAAAATGCCGTGAAAATTGTTTAAGTAATAAAGATTTATTGGTTTAATATTTAACCTTTCAGTGGTTCTCATAACATTCAAAATGTCTCAGGGAAGAGTCCTAAATTTTGGATTGAGTGTTACCATACCCATACAAAATTGTCTATTTCACAGAGGTCTCCAATTTTCTTAGCTGTAACTCCAAAACCCAAAACAACTGTGAAAGAAAATTACATATCTCATTTTGCAGCAAAACTTGAATTGTTGACCCTATTATTTATGGTATTAAATGAGACTGTATATTTTACTACGGTGATGTTAATAGGTTTGATTTTAATGTGTTTGATCTTAGGTACTGCCTCAGACCCTGTGGAGTGCTTTAAAAAATTCCTTAACATGCATAATTCCAAAATGCAAATGAGTCCAAGGTTTTGGAGAAGGGATTGTGGACCTGTACTTTTCAGTTTAACTTAAAAACGTCTACTGTTGAGCCATAGGTGTCTTTTTACAGATGGAAGCCCTTGAACAGCATTCTCATACATGATAAATTAGCTCAAAGTAGCACTCTTCCCTGTGAAAACTCTTCCATTTCCCTGGGCATCCATTTCTTTTTTTTCTTATTTATTTTGAGAGAGAGAGAACGTGAGCCAGGGAGGGGCAGAGCTACAGGGGAACAGAGGATCCAAAGTGGTTTCAGCAGAGATCCTGATGGGGGGCTTGAACTCACAAACCATGAGATAATGACATGAACCAAAGTCAGGTGCTTAACTGAGCCACCTGGCCACCCCCAATGTGCATCCATTTCTTGTGGGTAGTGATTGTTCACATTGAACACACCTAAATGTGTCAGGTGATTTTTTTTCTTCAGTAACCCTTATGCTATGTAGCTGATCTGTGAAATAGTGGCCACTTTAGACTAATACAGATGGATTTCATTGAACAATATTTTAACAAGGACCTGGCTGTCATCTTATTCTAGGCACCTGCACAACAGTACAAGGCTTAATTCGGGTAAGTCTGATACTCTTTTCCTTTCTGTGTTGCTGCAGACATACAGTAAATAGCATTAACAGCAAGGAGATTAATGGTAGAAAATTAAAGTACCACTTAAAATTTTTCAAATTGCTATTTGCCTTTAAAAAAATATGAGCTTTGTAGATTAGAAAGTGGGCCAATACTGAGTTCACTAAATTATAAGGACTGTAATTATGGAGTTGACTAAACTTGAAAATATTTGGCCTCCGTACAGATCTATTCGTAAGAGCAATTGTTTGTAGCTCCTGTCTGGATTCAATAGTGATTTTAACCAATCGCCATTGTTCAGACTGACTGAGGTAGTAGAAGGGAGACACACAATGCATGAAATAAAACCAGAATGCAGTTTTTGAAATTGGAGACTTCAGTTAAGTCCTGGCACTCTCCTAGGGTCCGCTTGTAAAAACCACTCAGGGTTAATTTCTACTAACAGACTTTTGGGCTTTCTTACAGTTGGTTTTTACTGCATTTAGTTTAACAGAAAGTCCTCAAAGTGTAACAGAGCAGTCTTCCCCTGAAGAGTGTGTGGCTAGTTGAGCGCAAGGGCAGATGTTCCTGTTCTCAGCCACTTCCCAACTGCCCAGCCTCTTGGGCACTTTAGCCATCCATATTCCTTATGGTAGTTTCCTTTACTAAGGAATTCACCCTATTTCATTAGCTCCTTATCCTTGCCATTGTTTGCTAATTGGTGAACTGTCTCTCCAGAGAAATTGAGAATAGTCTGCTTGTTTCATAGAAGTCTACCTGCTTCCCTGTGAGGCCAGCCCCCCTGGAATGGAGTGTTACATGCAAAAGGGAACTTCCCTATTTTTCCTTTCTCAAGCCTTGCTATACTGTTGAATTACCTGGGGGTACTTTTTAAAAATAACACTATGCACACAGGTCTCCTTATGCCAATTAAATGTTCTAAGAGCGGATGCCCAGGTTAGGTTACGTGTGTGTGTGTCTTAAAAGGCCACTTGACCATTTCTCCCTATTTCTGCTAGCATCCTAGCTTAAATATTTAGACTTTGTTCATTTCTGAAGAGAGGAAAGGTTATGGTGTGCATACACACACTCCCCTTCTGGTTACAAGTCTTAAGACTGCTTTCAAATAAAACTTCCCAAATAATGCTTAGTAGGTGGATGATATAAAACACCATTGATTGAAGGCACACCATTATTTCGGATACCATGAAGAACAATGCTAATTAAACCATCATGTGTCAATTAGGGTATTACAACCAGTGAAATATATACATTAACCAAGGAGACTATTGAATGCAAGGCTTAAAATTAGCTTGCACTTAGCTTAAGTACTTGAAATGACCACACAACCACCTTTTAAGCTCTGAACTACCTTCCCATTTTGTGCATATGTAGAATCAAGTCGCTGTTTCCATATTTTTGTAACATCTGAGGAGGAGATTTTACAGGTAATTTTTCTAGTGCAAACAGGACATATCCAGGGAAGAGTACTATTTTAAAATTCACTTTGAAAGTTTGCTGGTGAGGAAGGCAGGAGACCTGAGAGGAGGAAACTGCCTGTCAAGACTTTACTCATCACATTTTTCTAAGAGGCATGTTCCTGGCTTCTTGACTAGTACTTTGTCCCTCAAGAACTTGAATGGACTGGTCTCCAGTCATTTTTGGTACACACATTCCTATGTTAAGACTTGTGTTACCTGTGCTTCACAGAAAACCTGGCTTTTATAGCACATACACTCTTGAGTTCACTACATTTCCACTATTCTCTACTGTCCCCCTATCCCGAAGTCCTGAGCCTATGTCAAGTCTTTCATCATAGGTCAAGTTCTTCTTAGGCCCTGCCTTGCCTCTCTCCCACCTTTGACCTAACAAAGGCTACTGGGCCTAGAATTGAAATAGTTTTGAAACTTTTGGTGGTGATGCACCAACTGCTACAACCAGCACTACCAGTGTTTGCTTCAGTATCGTTCTGGCTAGACTCCTGTAAGTTGAATGAAGAAATAAGAAAGCATCTTAACATGGCCCTCAAAACTATACAAACTCCGTAAGATTTTCAAACTTTATATCTTGAACAATGTAAGTTAACAGGAAAAAGTCAAATGACAATTTTAATAGACTTTAAAACAGTGTACAAGTATAAAACACTGGTTTTGTATTTCAAAAGTTGGAGGAAGATATCCAGTCATTCAACAGTCTACAAAACATATGCCAGTAGATTACATAAAAGACTATGTACAATATAAAAAGAGCTGAAAACAGTCTTCACTGTAAAAATAATTTAAAACAAATTTTTCAATTTAAAATATCATCTCTAGCACAAACACACATCATGCAAATGGAAAACTAAATATACTGAATTCTTTAGTGTAGCCAAATAAATTCAGACTGAAACATCTTTTAGGTAAGGAAATGGCCATTCAATAAAATTTCTCTCTCTGGCAGTAATGGTCCTAGCTGGGTATTTTATGCTTAAAGAACAGCTATATTTCAAACCCTTTTTTAAAATTGTAATAAATACTAAAGCAACATAGGAATACTTTATATTTGGGAATAATGTGGGGGGAAAGTCTGGAAAATAAATTGCTCTGTGCAATTTTATAAAGTATGAATTTTTTGAAAGGCTAGAAGCTTCTGCAGCTGAGAAAAGTTTGATCTCTAGTTTTAAGGCAGGCTAAGCTTTTAAATAAAGATGTTACAGGAACTAACTTCATTAACTATTCTGCTATTACAAGTTACATCATGTTCATCTCCATAATACTAGGCTAGCAGTTTGGTGTCTATTACACCAAATCCTCCCAACAGGAGACATGTACTTACTGGCTGAGTTATAATTAACATCTTAGTACTTTGGAACTGTAATCAGGGGCCTGTTGCTCTCCTCATTAGTGGAAAAGAAAAGCAGCAGTCCAAAATATTACACTCTTCCCAGTTGAAGTACCATTATTATAGATTCATAAGGGCTCTGCATATTCACATCTTGGCAGTTTAATACTTGTGGGAAAGAATCAATGCAAGCTCTATCTACCACAGTGATATGTATTTAAACAACAATGGCAAATATTCTTGAAACTAAGGGTACCCAGGCAGGCACTATTGTCTCTAAAGCAATTGAAACATTTCCAAAGCATTTATTTGTTTTTCAGATTAGTTTTAGGAGCCAATATAGACATTACTACATGTCCACAGGAAGTACAAAAGCCATCTTCATTTCAATACAATATTCCTGAAATTCTTAGCACCAAGTCTTACTTTAAAAAGCAAAGACAACTGAGTGCTCTCCCACATATTGTTGACTTCCTTCTACACACACTGCATGTTATGAGATTTTTAAAAAGTTAGCTGCCACAAGTTTTGGAAAATGCCAGTGTTTAAAAATAGGTAATTGTGCTAATAAAGAATCAAAAGTTTAGCAGAACAGACATTTGAGGAGTTCAGACTATTCAATGTTACAAATAAAAGTGTGAAAATACCATTCTTTGGTCTAGATAAGCTGTTCCCTTTACATTAATTTAACATTCCAATGGCTTTTTGAAAACTTTAAAATGTTGAAACTCACTAGGCAAGAACAAAATTATATATACATAACGGATGTATCATACAAATGAACTTTTAAAAGAAAAGTCTTGACCAACAGGTGATTAAAGATACTTAGTACCCTTCTTTTAAAAAAAGTTAGTGTTGCGTGTACAAGTACAGAAATAAGAAGTTAAAAATTACCCATGAAGAAAAAGTCTTATTTTACCAGTCTATAAATATTACACCTTTCTGGTTTCCTTGCTCTGTTGAATTCACAAGTAAACATTCCTTTTGACATGCTAAAGTTCCTAATGCTGGTGGAACAATTCCTGTACCTGGACAACTATTACATTATGATTTGTTTGATGGATAGTTAATGTCTGTTGCTTCCTGTTTCACGGATATAGTTTCATTAACTGCCTCTTGATCACCTCCATCAACTCCAAATCCAGTTCCTCCAGCTCTCTCATTAACATCAGCATCGTCTTCCAAACCGTTGTAAAATTCTTCAATCTCGCTTTCATCCTCCAAGTGTTCTTCTAAACTTGGACTCTGGC